CCCCCTCGGCCGGGCGGCGGGGGAGGGCTAAAGGCAGCCGGGCCCGGGGGGCCGCTCCCCGCGCCTTCCCGGCGGAGCGGGGAGTTACAGCCCGTCAGGTGGGTTCGGCCGGGGCTGGCCGTCGGCTCTGCCTGCGCGGTTCCGCCGCTGGAAGGGTTCCTGCGGTACCCCTGGCCCTCCTGTTACCCGCCGCCTCCGCCCGCCCGGCCGCTGCAGCTCAGGAACGCACCCGTTGCCCGTTTTTCCCGGAAACGGCACCGCTCGCTAACCGGTGCGGCAGGCGGCTTTGGGCACTTCCACATAACAGGCTTCACGTATAAGGTTATAATACTAGAGCTGTTCCTCGCACTGGTGTGCATTTCACAGTCCTCTTTCAGAACTGAGGAAAAACAACCCAAAACTGAAGTTATTTTTACTGACTCTGGTGTGGTTTTTCTCTGTTAAATCAGTGGTTTGTGTGATACACGTGTGTGTGCATCTCACACTCTCTCTAGACGTATATAATGGAACTGGAGTGTGGTTTGGGCTTAACAAGGGATAGTGGAAATACGCTTTTATCTCATTAATTTAGAGCAGTTTATGGGAAGAATTCTGCAGCCGGTATTGTTCTAGAGGTTAAAAAGTACACACGTGCGTGTTACTTCTGCTCCATCCAGACTGAACAAGTAAGTCAGCTTGCGCAAGTCATTATGCTTGGAGATGTAAACTGAAGAGAAAACGAACTCCTAAATTCTGTATCTGGATTTCCTCATTTTAAAAATTTTAAAACACTGCTGTAACAAAATTAAGTTTTTTGTATTAGAATTGTATGTTTTCCCAATTTTGTAGATTTTGCGAATGCTGGTTTTTCTCAGGGCACTTAACACATTTGTTTTATAATAAAGCCTGAGAATAAACATCTGCTTAAAATATAAAGGGCAAACAGCACGTGATGCTTTTCAATAGCCCCAAATTGCAGAAAATACTCCTAATTGTTGACTGCTTGTTTTTACACTCAGGTTTTGTTTAGGAAGGTATTTTCCGATGACAGTGTTTTATAAGGAATGCACACACTTGCCATGAGAAGTGTAAGCCTCTCTGAAGAAAAAAAATAGAAGTTGGGCATTAGGGTTTTTTATTCTTTTTGCTGAGACCAGTTTTGTGTTTTTGCCCTTCAGCTCCATGAATTTGCCAAGACTTAAGGTAAAATTCTATGAAATTTTGGAATATTTATGCCGACTCCTGGAGCTCCTGTCCATTCTGAATTAATGACTGAATAAATAATACTGATTTTTCACTTTTTTTTTAATGCAAGTTTTTCTTGTGTAATATGCCATATATTACATCTGTCTTCTGGTTTGTTTCTCCAGTTTGTGATGGCTGGGTTGTATGTGGAAAAACTGATTTTAGAACTAGTCATTAAACTTCCTTAGGTTTAATTCTTTTTAGTAAGTTCCCTGTCCCATCACTGTAGTAATGTTTCTAGCCGTTTTAATGTTTCTTGACCAAATTACAAGTCTGTTTCTGAGCAGAGAGTGCCAGTGCTTTTAAAAACAAAATATGTTGTATCCTGTTACAAAGTAATACAGAATTTACATTTTGTGGGAACTTGGTTGTGAATGCCTGCCGGATGCATTTACTCAATGTGCATGTAGTTGCTCCCAAAGCTTGTAAGCCATAGAAGCTAGAGGAGAGGACAAGTTCCAACGTGTTGAATCAAAATTTAAAAAAAATGACTGTCTAATAGGTCAAGACATTTTTATACAAATATGTAGAGCATTGGTGCTTGACAGTTGCTGCTCCACTTTGTGGTTTTGTTTCTTTACACATTGGCATTGCACTTAAGTAATGTTACACACCAGATGCTAGAAATGGAGCTTCTTTACGTATGTTAGATTTCCACTGTAGTCCTTTTTGGCTGTGTTCATTGACTGGGAATATATAAACTGTTTGGAAAGTTTGAGAAGACATAACAGGCAATGGAAATGTAGACAATACCGAAGAATGCTGAGTTGTAAAGAGAGATTTACATGCTCTTTGGGACATGATGATCGCATGTAGCAACATCATCTAAAAACAAAAGGAGAATTCGAAGTAAAATATTGTTAATTCTATATCGTACAACGTGTCTGCTGAGATGGCATCAATACAGAGGTACAGAGGGATAGTTCAGTTCATTGGAAGCTGCGCATCAATAGCACTTTAGCTGTGTTTTCAGTTGTCTACATAAGGTAAATGTGTATATCTTAATGAAGTTGTGGAAAAGATACACTCAGAGGCAAAAAATTTAATAAAACTGAACATTCAGAGATCTGAACAGTGTGTTCTTTAAAACAGTGTATAAATGATCATGTTTGAATATCTTCCAAATGCAGATTATTGAAAGGTTTGTATTAATGCCTGGGGAGAAGGCAGCTGTGATTTCATATTGGTATTTGTGAGTCTAGAATTGTTCCTTCATATTGAATCATGTTTAACTACAGCTATATGGGTTGAACCATCAAACCACCAAGAATTATCTTGTGGCTATATTAGCAGCAGCCATAAAATCCTTAACTAGTTCAGCTATCTTTGTGGGGATTTCTGCTGCCACTTGGTGTAGAAGAGCTAGCAGTTATACTGCTGTTAGTTCTCTCTGAGTCTCTCATTAACATAGGAGATAACGCATGAGTCTGAGGTAAACTGTCAGCACAATAAATATCTGGGTTTTTTTCGCCCTTTGTTCCTGCCACATCAGTTGCTTACCAGGTTGCGCTTATGTTAGTTTGGTGGTGTTAGCTACATATGGGAAGATCTAAATGGCAAGAGCTTGGCCCAGAACGAAGCACACGTTTTCTGAGTGGAAATGACACTCTGTGTAGTAGAGGTTGGTTTAAAAAATGTTAATAATTGACTAATTTATAAGCTTGGAAGTCTTCCAATAGGATGTGTAGAACACTAACCTTAATCATCTTACTGGCTATAAGTAAATTGTATTTTTTGTCTTTTAAAGGAAATTCGACATAAATCCAGTGACTACCCTCATAGAGTTGCAAAATACCCAGAAAACAGAAATCGAAACAGATACAGAGATGTTAGTCCCTGTAAGTATCTTTTCTGTAATCATTGCAGTAAATTTTCTAGACTGTTTATTCATCCAGTTTACTTTTAAACACCCTAGCTAATAAATCGTGGACATCGTATTTTGTTTCTTTCTGTAGGCATGTGTCCTGTGAGAAATGTGGTTTTTGTAACACATACACAAGTGTGCATAACAGAAGGGAGAAAAGTCTGCCAGTTAAATTCATTGTGCTGAACGGTGAATGAGAGATGATTACGAAGTATTAGTATGTGGGTAGATGTTTGTGAGCTGCAAAGTAATCCTTTAAAGATACTTTTCTCGCAAGGAAATTATTTATATATTATTGCCTGTCATAAAAAAAAAAATCAACATCTGCTGAGCACAGAAATTGAGTTAATAAGCCTTGACTAACATAAACAGTTTCTTTTTGGGCTAAGTGATTCTGCACATTTACAAGATTGTGTAGGTAAATGCTACTGAATTTCTGCTGTTGCTTTAAAAAAAATACCTGAAACTTTGTTATTCTTGTCTGTTCAGAAGAGTATATGCACAGAGTTGTTCTTCAATTTTCTCAATGCAGGTAGATATGGTATGGAGTGCTTTGTATTTTACCAACTGCCATAGAATGGTCTTTGTGACATAATCATATCTGAAGTGAAGGTAGCTCTTTTTTTTACCAGCTTCTTTGCTACTGAAGTGTTGTGGACCTTTTTCAACAGCATTTACTTTAGAAACTGTAATCTAAAATAATTATAAAAATACACATGAGAAAAAGATTACCGGTATGTAGTTATAGCTGGAGAAGTCTATCATAAAATGTTTTCAAAAGGGATAGGAAAAATATTCAGTACAGCCTTAATTTTCCTACAAAATTTTGAAGTTGGAACAGATTAAAGGTTTGTGTGTTCTCTAGTATGAAGTTTCTCAGAGCACCAAAGACTAAGAAAACCCTTCTTGTTACTGGATCTAGAATTTGTGAAGGATTGCTGGTGTCTTGGGGCTTTTTGTTTGCGAGCCTGATCTGAATACCTATTGTAAGATTTGGAGAAGTGCTGAACTCCTTGTTTCCAGTTGAAAGTTGTGGTAACAGCATGTGCATGGCACTTCTCAAAATGACACGGAGGGGTCTCGGGTTGAGTCAGGCTGGTCGGATGCAGCGCTGCTGCTGTTCATTCAGCTGCTGCCGGGCTGCTCCCTTGCACCGGGCCTTCACAGCGGACGCATCCAGCCTGGCTTAATGCTGAATCTGATGAAAACGAACTTCAGACCGTACAGTTCTGAAGAAGATACCTCAAGTTAGTCAAGGCTTACGAGCTTCCGCTGTACGCTCAGCAAGGGGAGACAGGCCTCTGCTGGACCTTTGTTGATCTATGTGGAGGTTGATCTACGCATGTCCCAGCTTTGCTGTCCTGTTACAGCACAGCATTAGCATCTCACCGGTGGTAAAGCAGATCATGTTTTATTCACTTTCTGTTTCATACCGAAATTGGGATGGGGTTTGTAAGAAGAGAAGGCAGGAAATTGGATTTGAACCCTCAAGACCCAAGTTCTGTTCCTGGGTGCAATATCCTCTAGAATTTCTGTGGCAGAAGCTGTGTTCGTGCATTTATCATTTCTCCCCTTTGTGAATTTTGCTTCTTGGCCATTACTGCAAAGAGAATGGCAGTTTATCTTTGTGATTTTCTTTCATTTTAAAAAGAGTGTTTCTAAAATAAGTCAATGAAAATACATTGTCTTATTTAAGTAGCATCTGATAATGCCCATGAGTTGTATTCATCTCCTGTAGCTTTTTGGAGCTCAAAATTTCCTTTAATCATGGCATACCTTTTACAACACTGAAGAGCACTGAATACCTTTGTGTGATCATGGCAAAGCCTGCTTCTGAAATGCTTATTTAGCCAGGAGGAAAATAATTATGTGATTGTATTAATCCCTGGACCCTGTGCAAGAGCAGAGAGATAGATAAAATCTGGTCTTGAAGTTGTAGTTGTGCTCAGGAAAGGGTTAGAGTTATTACATGCTAGTTGACATGAAGTATAACATGATGACCAAACTCAGATGGTGAACTTTGAGGCATGTCTCAGTTTCTAGTATTTATGACAGAAAGAAGGTTTAAATTGGGCCACTGAGCCTTCAGAACTGGGCACTAGGAGCAAGACCGTATGAGGAGAAAGCGCAGAACACAGTTTGAACTAATTCCTGTTTAAATAGCGTGTTTTCAAACATGACTCATAATTGTATCTGTAATGACAGTGAGAGTTGGAAGGAGAAAGAGACCTGGAAGGGGGAATATATGATAAATAACATTCCGAGATAGCAGTATCTAAATTTCAGAGCAGCAGGGGTAAGAGCTGTGCAGCTTGGTCACTGTGGTGAGCACATTTAATCGTGGTGCGTGTATGCAAGGAACTGATGTTGCAGAAATGCTAGACCACTCAGTCTTACACAATCTTAACATCTCAGTCCGTCACTTTGCAGATTTTACTGCTCTTTATAATAGTGTTTAAATGGAAAATGAGTGATAATACTAATATTCTGTGATAGTCAGAGGCCTTCAGAACTAGCAGTTAAATTTTTAAGATATAGCTACTTAAACATATTATAAGACATAATTTGATGAAAATGTTATATTTCTCCCTACCAGTGAGAAAATGGTGTGTTAATCTAGATAGTGGCCAAGCCAGCCTAAAATCTGAGGTGGTATGTCTGCAAGAGGAAATGCAAAGATTACTGTTCTACAGAAAAGATGTCAATTACAAGTGCTGGAAAAAATGTTTTGGGTTGGTTTCCCCCATTTCAACCATAATACGCAGGACAGGTACACTGAAACCAACTTGTGCCCATTACATACATTTCTAGGTAAAAGTTGATTTCTCTTGAATGGGAAATGCTAATCATCTTTGTCCATTACAGTTGAGTTTCACATTGTCTCCAGTTTCATAAATGTTTTCGTTAGTGTCCAGTTATGTTGGCTAAAAAGCTATGCTCTGCTTAAATTTGGTTAGGTAGAAGCCCTCAAGAGTTACCGCTTAGCCAAAAAAAATAGCAGTCGAGCAGTTTGGTATTAGTCTAGAATAAGGAGAGGAATATTTTGGCTATGTAGTACTATTGAAACAGGAAGTTAATCTGAAATAGGTTTGGGTTGACAGCCAGTCATTTCCTGACAGATGAAACCGTTTCTCAGAAAACATTGTTAAGAGGAAAATAACTTGTGAAGTTATTATTCTTTATTGATAACTTTAATGAAACTCTAAGATTTCTGTTATTACTTTCCTTCCAAATTTTATCCTTAGTTGATATCAGGGGAGTCTTGTGTCTCAGATTGACTGTAAACACCTTTAGAGAGCTGCTTACTGTGTTCCCAGATTTAGAGTCAAAGAGGAAATCCCCTCTGCAAAATTGGCAGGATTTTTTTTTTTCTTTGCCTTTAGAGGGTAGATGGGGGTTTACACAGTTTTGTCTTTAGCCTTCCTTTGTAATGTGCATAGCCCAATATTTTAGGTCATCTGAACGTTTTCACTTGATGGATCATGTTGAAGTTGCAGTATCTTGAGAGGCAGTGATTTCTTCTGTTTCCTCCCTGTGGCCATTAGTAGACTTTGTGTTGGACCCTTCAGCGATTGGCTTCCAGTTGTCATAGAGTATGTACCAGGAGAGAGGAACATGAGGATCATTGTGCTTTACAGGGAGCAGAGTTCAACCTGATAGGGATGGTTTTGCATTTACTGCTGATTAATTATTATTGCAGAAACATTCCCTTTCTGTCCTATTAGTTGAGTGTATGCGCTGAGAATAGGGACGTGTTCTATCCAAAAGAAGCTGACATTGATTTTTATGACGTTATCTAATGATTCGCTAAAACATCTTGTTACCAGAAACATGGTATAAAAGAACTCAACATGCTGCTTTTGGAGATACTTCTTTGTTTGGGGTTGGGGAAAAAGGGAATTTTATAGCACATACAATAAAATTTACATCAGTATCATGGGTTTTTTTCAGAGTTCTGCTTAAAGGTATAATGATCCTGTGCAGTAGTTATGCATATATTCCAGTTATGAGCCAGGCCATGATTGGTATAATGGCATTCATTGCCTACAACCAGTGACAGGGTGGGGAAAAGTCACTTTGCCTCTCCTTTGCCTTAGGCTACCTCTGGAACTTGAGACTTACAGTCTAGTGACGGGGTATTGTAATTTGAATAATTTAGCAGCTCAGAAGGACTAGATTTAGATTAGTTAAATGAAGGGGATTTGCTGGTAGGCGGGAAAGGGTCAGACTGGGTCACTGGGGTGGCTTATGGCTACATGTTTTATTTATGACTTTCTTTAATCCACTAAGTAGCATTTCACCCTCCTTTGTTGTTAATAGCTCTATATTTGGGAAGGCGGAGACATCTCTTGGATAAAAGATAATTTTTAAGTTATACAGTGGTTTCACTATTAGAAGCAGTTTTTTTTCAAATAAAAACCTTTCATTAACGAACTGCAAGAACTGTATGATGTAAAATGCTAAACGTTTCATATCTCAGTTTTAACTGGATATGTCACTTTCTTTTTTAGCAGAGAGTGGGCAAATTGATGTGTAATGTGAAGTATTGACCTTATTTGAGGCATGGGGAGTGTTGTCAGTGATATCAGTGGGACAGGGTTTCACTTGAAGTGGGTAATAACAGTAGCTTATCTCAGACAGGGTTCTTCTGGGAGTCGTTTTTTTTAGTGCAGGAGCCAGAATGAGAAGCATTTTGTAAGGTTTCCACTTCCTTTTTGGGCTGTATAGTTTGTTGAAATAGGGGAATTAGCACTTCAGAAAATGAGTACTATATTTTAGCTGTTGTGGGCATGGAAACATTTAAGATAAATCTGGAAGATAAGATTTAAGATAGGTTTATCATTCATATAAATCTAAAGTATTTTATAACTGGAAATTCTTTACATGCGGGAAATATGTTACAGCTAACTCACTGTCAAAAAATTGGCTTCCTTCATGTAATTCAGAAGAGCAAGCCAGGGCTTGAATGAGGTTTCTAGGTCATTGTGTCCTTTAGGAATCTCTTCCCTTGAAAGACGGGAAATCAATATATTCCAGTGGCTTGCTTTTGTCTGTGGAGTGTAGGCCAGTGTATGTGTGGGATCGCCTCTGCTTTAGTTGGGGAGGAGGAGGGAGGCTGTCTGTGCATAGAATTAGTTGTTAAAGGGACTTTAAAAAAAAAAAAAAACCAAACACTTTCAGAATTCTATTTGTCATGTTTACAAAGCAAAATTTATAAGAAGGGTAAAATAAGCCTGAAAACGTGTGTAAGGATTACAGTAGGAAACCTCGTTAGGGCCTGGGCAGTTATCTGCTCCTGGCAGCAGTACAGCAGCTGCTGCTGGGTGATTAAACTGTTAACAGTACTTGCTTACGTCATCTTTCCGAGAACACTAGTACCGGTATGTGTGATTTACTATAACAAGATCTTAAGTTTTTCCTGTTGGCAAATGACATGTAATATTTACAAAGGTCTTGGTTTCTCTCCAGTAGAAACATTTCAGATAAAGTGATACATGAAAGGAAAAAGTAACGCTTTCCTATCCAGACAAAATAATACGAGAAGATATATATTGCTTTAAAATATATGTATGGTTTAATTTTACTGTCTCTTAGCTTTGATAGTATCTTTTTGCTTAATATAGATCTATCATAAATTATTTTAATACTCCTGAAAGTCAGGTTGGTGTTGCCTTACAGCTGGAATGCTAATGAAAACAGACCAAACCAGTAACTTTCTCATACTTTTGTATTAAAAATAGGTTTTCAGCATATTTTTGTTTTCTACGCATTTGTATATGACTGCATATAAAAGCTAGCAGCTAAAGGAGGTAGGATAACAACCCCAAATCTCAGTCCTTCAGGAAAAAAAAATAGTAGTAACTTACTGCTGAGTTCTTTCCTTGAATTCAGCAAGATCCTCTGACAGCTGCCAATAGATAGATGAGGGAGAATGTGAAAGCAGATCAAGACCAAGTAAATGTATTTTTCCCAGTTTTCCAAACATATGGAAAACATTTGGATACATTTATAAAGTCGTATCAGCAGTCCATAGAACAAGAGTCTAATTCAGTAACTATCTTTTGATTCCCATTAGCTTTTTGCCTATTTGGGGTCATATTCATGAATTTCTTAGATAAGCCTTGTGCTGTATACACTGGCTGTGACTCTGGGACTTAATGGGAGTTCAGCTATTATAGCTGCACTGGATGTGATACTTGGTAGTTGCTCATGTCAAAACTTAGGGATTTTGTGCATTTCTCAAGATATTTGTTAAAAGGAAGTTAGCCTTCTGGTGCAGGGATGGGAGAGGGAAAAGTGAACTGACATTTTAACAGCAGCTGTGCCACCAGCCTGCACTCCGAATGAGTTTTCTGGGTTAGACTAGGTGAACGTAGGTTAAAAACTGGCATTGAACTGTAATTCACTCTCAGCTCTGTCAGTTTCTTTATGGAATCTTTTCCTGAAAGGTGTGGAAGTCTCTTAAACTCATTTTAGTTTGCCATTTTTTATTTATTCTTCTGATAAACAGCCTGACTAGGCAGTTGGGCTTCAGGGGGCTTACAGTCACTTGGATCACATTTCCTGACATGCAGTTGTGTACAGATTTTAAACTAAAAATTTATTTAATGCAGTTGTAATAAATGGCTGAAGGATTACTTACAGCGAAGAAGTCTGATTACTTAAATGTCTCCCAGAGGGTGATAAATCAGATACTTAAAGGTTCTAGGAACAGCCACAGTGATTTTTTTTATTATACATTATTTTAGTATCACAGTCTGATAATCTTTCTGATATTAAAGTTAGACTTTTAAATAGAGTCCTTTGCTTGCCTCTGCCTTTTGGCATGTGTGGGTGGCTTGTTTTGTTTGCTTGTTTTTTAAAGAAAACTGAGTATTCCAGTTTTCTGAGAAGCTTCTATTAACAACTGCCTGAAATTATTCTGATGGAGTGCTCAGGGGAGAATGAGACAGGCAGTTAACAGTTACACGAGAAATTAGTTTCACGTATATTTGTAGTTTGCCATTGGCTAGTACTGCAGAATTTATTTCTAATTGCTTGTCAGACCTAAACTTGCCTAAACATTGATCAAGATGGATGCATCATTAATTCTTAATTTTCTTTGACTTTTAGATGATCATAGTCGTGTAAAACTGCAGAATGCTGAGAATGACTATATCAATGCCAGCCTAGTGGTCATAGAAGAAGCCCAGAGATACTATATTTTAACACAGGTACGTAGTACCAATTAGCAGGTCATTATAGGGATTGAGAATCTGGGGAGGGGATTTGTACAGTTGGATTTGTATTTGGGTGGTTCCTTGTCTTCCTGAATTACTTGTGTCTCATACTATGTGCCTGTTTGATCTAGTTCTGAACGCATTATTTTGTAGTTTAAGAAAAAACTAAAGGGAATACTTAAGGATGAATAATTGGCTGGATATAAAGCTTTTCAAGTATTTCTTGCTCTTTTCTTCACTTCTCTTGCAAATAGGTTGCAACAATACTTTTACCTCTTACTTCATCTTGTACCTTCTGAGCATGCCTGTAGTAGCTTTTCTTCTAACAGCACAATAGTATTGATGCCCAAACTGAAACATACCCGAGTTCTTAATGTTTTGTTGTTTGGTTTGGTTTTTGTGTGGTGTGGGTTTGTTTTGTTTTGTTTTTAAAAAAAGCCCACAAAACAGCTTTTAAGTACTGGAATGATCTACGCAGTGTGGTTACTTCATTGCCTGTATTTCTATCATTATATTAATAATTTGTTTAAACTTTTCAGAGGAAAACTTTTTCCTGTTTTGCACAGTGAACTATTAACTGTGTTCAAACACTGCTTTGTGTATACATTCTCACACCCTTTTTTTTTCTTTACTACACAGGGTCCGCTTCCTAATACATGTTGTCATTTTTGGCTAATGGTCTGGCAACAACAAACCAAAGCAGTTGTCATGCTGAACAGAGTTGTTGAAAAAGAATCGGTAAGTATATTAGGCCTAAAGTTGTAAAGCCAGCCACATAATTTTAATACAGTTTAACAGCGCTTAACTATTATGTCAAAAGAACTAACAGCATAACATATATTTGATATAACAATAAGGTGGTGGAGCTAAGGCACAAAATTCAGTTTGGTGTAAACAGCATCTAATAAATATTCATCCAGAAAGGTGAAAGTACCATGTACAGATAGAAATAAGATGGCAGCAGAAGCAGTGTAAGATGCTCTAGAGTGAAAGGGAAGGTGAGAAAAGTTTGAATTAATTTAGTATCTTTAGGTTATGTCTTCTAAATCTAAAAGAGTATATTTGTTATATAGTGATCTTGTAGTGATCTTAGCTGTAACATTGAAAACAAGTTGCTGCCCAGCAAGTGAGCTACTTATTTCTGATTCTTTACAGCTGGGGGCATACGTGCAGAATATACTAATCTTCTGTTATGCTGTAATTTTTCTGCTAATGTGCCTAAAACCACTGTGGATTTAGTTATGAATGCCTGTCATTTGAGGTTTATGGATTTTCTTCAGAGTAGATTTGATAGTTAAAAAGATTTGACTAGTCCATTAAAAAGTCACTTATTTTCTGTCCAAAATTTTCCTAGTGAAAGTTTGACTGCAGGGCAGGAGCAGTAAAGGATGAGGGACAGTTTTGCCTTGCTTTGTTTATTTTTTTGTTTACTAGAATATTCCGGTATTCAGCTTGGAAAACTGTATTTGTTACATCAGTTAAGGAAATGTGCAGGTGTACACCTCAGAAATGGAGCGGGGAAATGTTGAAATAACTGAGTAAAGATTTCTGCTCACTGTAGAGAACTAGAGGTGGGGAGAGGGAGGAAATGGTAAGGTATATCTCAAAACGTGCCAGCCCTGCAGTGAAAGAAGGCATAAACAGATAAATCTGGAACATGGAATAGCCATTGAAACAGTTTAGTAACTTGGCTGTAAACACTATGGACTTTGAGAATTCTTCAAACTGGGAGCAGCTACTTAAGCCTACTGTATTGAATAATGGGGTCTGAGAATCTGCTCTTGCAAAACCCAAGATACTAGGATACTTAACCAGATTTTTCTTTTTTTTTCTTCTTTGTTTTTTTCTCCTCTTTTAACAAAATAAATTAGGTGAAGTGTGCACAGTACTGGCCAACAAAAGAAGAGGAAGTTATGACATTCAGTGAAACAGGGTTCCGTGTGAGGCTAGTATCTGAAGACGTCAAATCCTATTACACAGTGCATCTACTGCAATTAGAAAATATCAACGTAAGCTTTTCTCAGTCTGTATAGCTCATATTCCTGAGCTTAAGTATGTCATGAAAACTGCATAGCATATTGTCACCAAAGGTTTGATTGAGTTTTTACACTGAAAATTGTAATGCACTTTGCTTCTGATAATGTTGAAGATATATATGTGGCATATAAGTGAGTTAGGTCTGAATTAATCTGTACATTAGAAGAGATAACAACTTCAGCATTTTTATATTTTCTGTTTGTCAGTACCTGAACATGCTGAATTGTAATTGACGGTAGTGGTGATTCTGAGAAGAGCTGTGAGAAAATACCCTAAATGGAGGAACCTAGGAGTTGAAAATTCTGATTTCTTTTGAATATCAGAAATCAGCTTCAGTAATTACTGGTTTTTGTTTTGTTTTGTTTTTAAATGGAACTTTAGTTTTCCATATATAATTCAGTCCAGCTATCTAAGTTTTTTGGGGGAGGGGTGATTACCAGCTGTAGATAGGTAACTTTATCTCCTCTTGCTTACCTCCCCTTTTGCTCCACAGGACCAACCATCCTTTTCTCTTAAAAATTAAGCACTTTGACAATTTAATCAAGTTAAGCTCAAAAAAAATGTTCCTGGCCTGAGCTTGGGTTGGAATTTGCTGCTTCTGTTTCAGAGCTGAAGACAGGACTGAAGAGCTTGTCTGTTTGTTCCAGCTATGTCTTGTAAGATATTCTCTCTCCCTATAAACCTTGCCTTATATTAATTGAAAGTACTAGTACGGCAAGTTTAATTCAAGGTTGTCTTGTCATTGGATTTGGGAAAGAAAAGCTTGAAGATGTTCCTTTGCATGTTGTTTTACACAACTAAACATGGCTATATTTGGTCAAAATTATTTGAATCTGTAGTAACTATTAATGGTACTTTGAGATAATGTTTGTTAATTTGAAAGCTCCCTCACAAGATCAACATGATAAAACTTGGCATGTTGTTTCTTGGTCTATTCAATGTAAGAAGAGCTTTATGAAATTCTATCCTACTGACCTGAAGAATTTCTAATTAGTTGTTTGTTTATTGCTATCAAAGGCAAAGAAGAGAGGAGTAGTGCTTGCAAGCTAGTGTCTGAGAAAAAATAACGTTTGGTTTTTTTTTTTTTTGGAAAGTTGAGGCAAGTTTTCCTAACTACTGAAAAGGCTTCTGTGTGGAATTGTCTGGCTGACATTGGCAGCCTAAAACTTCCTATTTCCAAAGGATGCAGTTTTCATTATATTAGTATGTTTGGACGTAATGTTGACTGGAAAATGCAGAAATCCCTTGAGGAACAGCACCGTGAATGCTATAGAATACTTTTGAGTTGGAGCTATTGGGCGCTTAAGTTTCTGGGTTTGCTTTGGACTGGTAATGCTGGCCCATCAGCGCTGTACAGAGTTGCTTGTATGTCATTTAAATCAGTTTCACAAATACTTAGAAGACTTACTGTATTGAATTTTTATTTTAATGCCCTAGCACTCCTATAAAGCTCCAGGAATATTAACTCCAAGTAATATTTTTTATATAAAACAGCTACGAGAAGTAGAACATACTTCTTGTATGTTACTCAAACAAAAAAAAACTGCTTAGCTACTAGAATAACATGGTGAATGTTAAGAGAGCCTTCTGTAAGAATTCGATAATTATACTATAAAACTTGTGGGAACTGAGTATTCACAGTAACTTGAAATGTGAGCTTAACTATGTTTATACAAGTTACTCTGGAGGGGACTTTGGTGAAGCCAGCATAGCAAGATATTTAGCCACTTGACGCCTGGAATATAAGATGACTCATGAACAAAATATACTCTTAATTCCAAGAATACTTAAGAACTTTTAGTATTTCCTTGAAAACAGAGAGAATTAGAATTGTCTTTAAAATATGAGCATTCTGAACTCAAGTAAATTTGTATTACTGCAACAAATCTCTCTAATACATAAGCAAAATACATATGTATGGAGAGTGAAGTGCTTGTTTAATGTTGTTACCAGTGAAACAATCTCTGTATATTTAGTTGTTTTTGTTGGTGCTGGTTTTGTTTTGTTTTGTTAAAGAGCAATTAGAAGTCCAGGTGGGGTCGGTGGGTGGGTGGGGGGCAATGTTTGTTTTTTAGGATTAGATCAGAGCATTTGAGGTTTGATTTGTTTATATCTGTTCTAGACAGACATTTGGGTTTGCTGTTGTGGCTAGTGTAGTCCAATAAACTTTGGAGAGGAGATAGTGTTTATTGGTATAATTCCAAAAGTTTTTAAAACATTTCTAGTGTGCTTTGTCTTGCTAGTGATTATTGTGGAATTTCCTTATTTTTTGCCTAACCCAGTCTGCATTTTAGAGTACGGAAATTTGGAGCTGCTTTTCCACTATGGTTCATCATGTGTCCTCCATTGTTGTGTTGGTGTCAGTTGTCAGCTCTTCTGAAAGCTGAGCGCTGCTTTCTGCTGTAACCGCTCAGGTTCAGAACTCTCCTTGAGGAAAGGCTGATTGCGAAGGCTTAAATCATTTATGTGTGAAGCAATTGCATTTCTGTGACTTGAAGCAAAGTCTCCCAGTATACTGGAGAAGTGATAGGTGTTTAGGAGAGCCTTTTGTTAAATCTGTAAAATAACCTTATTGGATGGGGTTGCTAATATTGTGACAATATTATGGGAGAATTATTAGATATTAATGGCTAACTTCTGGAAGACTCCATTTAGTTTAATATGTATTTTTGTATTATTCTTTATTGTTGCTTTTATCTTTCCTTGTCACAAGTATAAGTACTGGTTACTGAAAACAAAACGTTTCTTTCTCTAATTTCTGATGTGGCGACCTAGATAGCCTGGAGAATGTGATGCATAATGAATGCTTATAAGCAAAATCCCACTAGGTTGTTACTGGGGGGTTCAGGGAAGCTGTGGGAGGACACATGAGCACTGGTACCTGAGAGAAACCAGGTGAGGAAATGGAGCAGTGGAAAGGGATTGAAATTGCTGGAGGAACCCTGATGAATTGTCTCAGACCGTGTTCCTAGAAATAAGAAGAAAGCAGCTGAAGGAGGGGTTTTTGAAGAAAATAATTGCTGGAGGAGAAAGGACTAGAAGAAATGAACTAGATTTGATGTGACACTGGTAGTATGATACTTTGGAGTAAGGACCATTAATAAACCCCATGTGGAGTGGGGTTTATTATGAGTCCTCTGCAAATAGCAAGTATTTGGGGAAAAAAGGCATCAGCAAAATGGATTCTCAGTTTAGTACCAAGCCTCTGTGTGGCCTTTGCTGTCAGATTAGGGTGACGTGAGACTGGTTAGTGGCCCTCACTATCTGATCCTGTGGATGAACCAGGAAGAGTCAGTGTAGTTCAAGAAGATGTGCTTCGCTGCTAGGTCACGATGTCCAAAATTTTAATCGTGCTGCCAAGACCTTTTGTTTGTGGAGGCAAGCAATCTGATGGCAGGTGGTGTTCTGGGATCTTCATATGCGGATGTGTATATGTATGTAATTCTGTAGTGGTTTGAAGGGATTTCTGAAACATGGCATACACTTGCTTTTAAACTTGTGGGATGCCCTCATCTCACTTTGTCAAACTGCAACAGGGATTAATTTTGGTCTTCATGACCACAGGAATAAGACTGAGGTGTTAGGAAAAGTATTGGTGTCTAACAGGAAGAGAGAACCCAGGCTCATTTGAATGTCAAGTGTTTTGCAGATTCAGTGGACCGTGTTGACTTACAGGATATGCAATAGTTATTAAAACCCAGAGTGTTTGTTGGTATTATTTGGCCCCATCATCCTCATTGCCATTTTTATGTACCTTTTGAAAACCATTTTGCCAAGCATTAGAGTGAACAAATAGGAGAGGCTGTGGTAAAAGGTGATTTAAGATTTTAAATTTCAGTGCTTAGAATATTGCCCTTCAGCATGACTTCTCATTTTTATACAATCAAATTAGTTGTTGATGCACATAAGGCGTGATCATTAAATACAGGACCACTGTGGGGTTGTAGGTGTATTTTATGCCTTCGTATGTTAGACAATTTTAGTAGTCCTTAAAGTATGAAATCAGGGAGTATGTGAAATTTGGCAGATCAGCATTTTTCTGTCCTCACCTGTTTTACTTGGTACTGAAGGCATAAACTGCCTTTGAGCATTTTCATAGTATTTTATTCATGTTCATACCCTCAAGTGACTGAACAACCTAAAGTGTTTTTTCCAAGATTTTTGTATCTTTTTGTTTTGACTGATTGGATAGTCACTGTAAAAAGGTTATGACGGGGCTTGTTTTGATGAAGGTAATGGCATTATATTATTTTTCTGCTCAAGTCCTCACATGGATATCTGCTTGTAACCTGGAGCATGGCTTGTGGTTTGATCACCCTTTGATTATGCTGTTAGTGTTGACAGCAGTCATTGGAGAACTGTGAGGTGTGGGGGTAATTTCTGAGTTTATCAGTTTTAGCTGTGTTGGTTGTTTACTGAAAACTTATCCCAGTAGATAATGAAACTTTCACTAGAATGGTTTGACTGACTTTCTTGAAAAGTTTTTTGTTTAAGTGTTGTCCCATGGTTATTCAAGGGTTTTTAAAATTTTTTTTTTTTTTGGTAGCTAGTCTTAGGGAATAAATCTTGGAAGAATATGTTGTGGTTACTGTAGGAGAAGGTGATTTTCAGTTACCATGCAGAAATGTATGCCCTGTGTACAACATACAAATATTTTATATTATTGCCTGAGTCTTGAAGTCCAGCTTTTTTTTTCTTTAAAATAATACCTAGCTTCCTGGTAACACTTTAAATAAAATTAGTTGTTCTCTAAAATTGAATTTCTGTCCCTCAACAGTTATGAATCTTTAGCAAGATTAAACCAAACCTTAGCCAAATCTTTTCTCATTACAGTCCTGCATCATTTCACGTAAGTGATAGCTGTGGCGCATGGCTCAGTGACAGGGGGAGTCCTTTAAGAAAGGGTGGTACAGATATTCACACAAAGATAGTATTTCAGCTGTACAGCTTGACTGCCAAGCACCACTTGAAAGAGCCATTCTGTTTAAGAGAGAAAATGTGGGAGGCTTGAAATATTCAAATGGGATTTGGCTGTATGATTAGAAACTGCAAGTTCAAAGAAGGCCAGCCAGTTCTGGTGCACTGAAATGGGGATTCATGAAAAAAGATGAAGAGACTGGGTATTTTTAAAATGAGCTGAAGCGATGCAAAATTGTGGCATGGATAAAGCCTTCGTACAGTATGAGGAGGAAGAAAAAAAAGTAATTCTGTGGGTTAGAGCTGGACGAGATGTACAGCAGCACTGTTTAATCTCGCCTTTAGAAATACCTGTTCAGATTAGCATGTGAGCAGGGTGACACCATGTGCTCTAAGCAGTACTGGGTTTTTTTATAAGGAGGATGCTAGTGCTTATTACAGTATGGGATTTGAAAAAAAGCGCACAAAAAAGCCACAAATCACCTTTGTTTCCTGTAGGTTAGGGCATTTTTGCCTTCTTGAGGTATAAGGGAGGCTTTAATCTGAAATGCTATTTAAGAATCTTGAGGGAGAGGGGGAGAGTATCAATTACCACTTCAAAGGATCATCTAGATTCATAGGAAACATCTTTAACATTTGCTTTACCTAGGATGTGCATTTAGCTCATCTCTATTTTCCTTTTAAATTTGTTTGTAAATCGATGAGATATTTTTCTTAGAAATAGAGGAAATTACTTAAGAATGTTATCTTCTATAATTTCCAGATTTCTTGTTAAAAAAATGTATCTCCTTCATGATTTTTAAACAAATGGGTAATTTCAGTTGATGTGAGTTAACTCACTAGTTGAAAAACTAGGTATGGAAGACCAATAAGAAGGTCTCAGTTGAAAATAAAAACTCTTTCTTTTTTATTGTTTCTTTTTTTTTTTTTTTAATGCTTTGCTTCAGACAAGTAAGAAAGGGAAGTCTCAGCATATTTACACAATTTAGGCCTGGAAAGATTCTTTTTTCCCCTTTGAAATCTTACTGTGTACTCATTTTCCTGGTATGATGGATCCGACTCTTGTTGTCCGTGTTGAGCTCTTAGCCAAAAGACAAAATATTCCTGGAAGGTCACTGCATTTGGGAGTGACTTGAGTCACGTTAATATCCACTGTTCCCGATGAACGTGTTGGCAGTCTTGTAGCATCAGGCATTGAAGGCAAATGAAAAAATGGGAGACTATTTTTGTTACTGTGGTAATAATGAACTGGGTTATTTTAGTTTCACAAAGGAGTTTTGTAAGTTGGCCCTCATAAGAAATTAAAACGCACTGAGCAAGAGATGAAAAATGGAATTTATTTTAGTTTCATAGTTTTATTTTACTGTTGCTGGAAAAGAAAAATAGCTTTTCTGAAATACCTTGATATTTTGAGTCTTCTTGTTTTCCAGCTTTGTGGAGGATTATGTAGGTTTCAATCTATGTTGAAAAATAAGATGAAGTGGAGAGAGGATAAAAATAACCAAACCTTTCTAAAATTCCTGAGCTAAATCTGTGATCAAGTTGTCTCAAAATCACTGTAGCAGGAAAAGGAGGGAGGCAAGGAGTAGCATTTAGCAGCAGGCCTGAAGCGAGTTCCATAAAGGTATGATCCAAATTTGTCATCAAAGCCTTTCAGAGATGCCTGTACTTCCTGCTGTCATTTCAGTACTTGCAGTTAGTTGCTCGTGTCAGCAGAGGAGCTGCATGGCTCTGAAACAACTGCATGGTTTTGGAACCTACCTTTCTTACTTGGGAAGGATGAATACATCTAGCAGAAATGTTGCTAGGTATCCTGCCATATGGGCTCTTGTAGGCCTTTTCCATCGAGCTTCCTGCTCCTCTCGCTACTGTGATTAGTATAAAGGAGACGCTAATGCCTCTTGATAGTGGAACTTGCTCTGAGCAGGAGTGGAGAGTGTTGACAATGCTGACAGTGATATTAATGCTAGCAGTCTAATAACTGCTGTCATCCATTAAGCTATGTTAAAAAGAAGAACACTTGGGAGCAAGTAGCAAAGCAAACTAAATATAATATTTGAAGTTTGAGAAGAAGAAAAAATATATATGGTATTAATTGCAAAGGGCAAAACTACCAACTCGGGTGAAACCTGCTTCAGGTTGCACTGTGGGTTGTCATCCAACTTGAAGCAAGTTACTGGATTGTTTTTTAAATGGGAGGTTTCAAGTAGAAAATAGCTATTTATTTAGATTGGGGAAATGCGTGCTAACTAAAGAAAAGTAAATTACTTTCTAGTTGCATTGTTTATTTTGTTTTTACTTCTAGAGTGGTGAGTCCAGGATGATCTCTCATTTTCATTATACGACGTGGCCAGACTTTGGAGTTCCTGAATCCCCAGCTTCATTCCTGAACTTCCTGTTTAAAGTCAGAGAGTCTGGTTCGCTGAGTCCGGAGCACGGCCCTGCGGTGGTTCACTGCAGCGCGGGGATAGGACGCTCGGGCACCTTCTCATTAGTAGACACTTGTCTTGTTCTGGTAAGTGTTTGCTCATTTTCTCTGTCACCCTTTCCTTCTCCTGACGCTCTGCCTCCTTTCCCAATATGGGCTTTTTGGTCAAAAAGCTTTAAAATTATTTAAGTTAATGACATGCCAGTGAAAACTTTTAATTAAGACTTCATGCTTTTTTTTTCTTCACATATTTCGGTGGTTTAAAAACACAGCTCTTGAAATACATTTAAAAATCCATTGTGAAGTACATTACATGTTTTCAAAGCTTCCTGGAAAGTAAATAGTAAGGATTGTATTCCTTTTATACAAGGTGGGCTTAGGAAAGGTTGGGGTTGGGTTTTTTTGTTGTGGTTTTTTTTTTGGTTGTTTTTTTTAATAATGCAAGCTTAAAGTTAAGCTTGTGTACGTACATATTGAGTTTTCTTAATATATATAAGTCTTTTTCTCTAAACATGGAGTATCTCACAGGTCTGACAGGCACCTTTTCTTAAGGTTGCTGAAAATCGGTATCTGCACTAGGATGAGAACTTGGGTATGTCCCTAGACCTCCTGTAGTGTGTAACGGAGGATGGTGTAGATTTTCCCTGGCTGCGTGGCACTCTGGGAGGTGGGGCTTGGTAGCCAGTTACAGTACCACGTGAATGAGTAGATTATTTGCTTGCTTGGTGAACTGCATCATCTATAATTGCTCATGACTTGGGTGAACTTTAAATGTTAAAAAAATATTTAAATTCCTCTTAAAATTTTTCTTGGATTTTTTTTTTAATTTTTCTTTAAATTTTCTTGGATTCATAAGCCTGGATACAGGCTTTTTCTCCTTGGCAGTGCTTGGAAATAGTGAGAAGTACAGCACAGGATTAGGTGAAATAATGTTTCATTTAAGTTATAAGACACATGTCTCCTGGTTTGGTGAGGTCCTCTCAACTTATTTTTAATTTTTCCTTCAGGTTTTTTTTTTCTGAGTTTTGAAAAACATAGGTGTATGTTTTGATGCAAGAATACTTCCATCATACATATATTAGACAAATTAAAGTGAACGTGACAAGTGCAGAGATGTGGTTAAAAACACCCCATGAATGTAGTGTCAGGACAAGTGTGTGCATTGCTTGGATTAGTAAACATCTGCCAGATCCAGTCATTCTCAATTACTGTTCCATTCAGGAGCAGTAGGAAATACTGCTCTATGGTTCTGATTCCTATAGTCCCATTTCAAAGTACAAATACATGATAAAATCCAGCCTATCTAAATTCCTTGATTTTAAGACTTAGTATTAGGTACTGGTTTATTTGGTTAATATGTGATCATTGATTTGTACATAATAAGCTTTCATTAGTTGGTTTACTTTTTTTCCTGTAAAACAATTTACAATTTAGAAATAATTTGAAGATGTTATATTTGTATATAACTAATAGAAACATAATATGATAAAATTAATTTTTAGATTGAATTTTATGACTGATTTTTATTTGTATTTATTTTTTATATGTTGTCTGTGAGTAGCAATGACACTCTCGATGCAACTTTCTTTACAGATGGAAAAAAAAGACCCATTTTCTGTAGATATTAAGAAAGTATTACTGGATATGAGAAAATACCGAATGGGACTTATTCAGACTCCTGATCAACTAAGATTTTCATATATGGCTGTAATAGAAGGAGCAAAATTTATAATGGGGGATTCAACTATACAGGTAAATGTTTAGTTCCATGTTATTTGACCGTGAACAGTAGTTAATTGTTCTGTTAACTACTGTTTTTAACTACTAACAGTAGTTAAAAATGAGCTCCAAACTATTTTAAAACCTGTAACTTCATGGGGTTTAAATAATTTGCCTTCTTCATTAGATGCCTAGAAGGTATCAGAGGTTATCTGATCAGCGCCTTCTGTCAGCTAACCGTTTCATTCTGTGTGTTTGTTCCCTCTTAGATAAAACATAAGAATATAAAAATAACGTGTCTGTACAAATGCTTAAGGAAAAAAAAAAAGTTAAATCGATATCTTCAATACTGAAAAGCAGAAGTAATGCCCAGTATCCCTTTGAAAAGGTAGCAAGGATCTTTTTGGTCTTTGCTATATATTTCCCTAACAACAAAGTTGCCTGATGCTACAGATTTATTAGTGAAGTTGCTTCTCCCTCCCGCCCCCCAGTATCCTTTAAAATTTGTGTTACACTTAGTAGAATTTAGCCAAATATAATGAATTTTGGGGCAAACAGATTATCAAATTTCATTATTTTATCAGTGTACCTTGCAGATGCAACAGTAGCTATAGTTCTTTTAAACAGCTGGGGCTTGGTGGGAGGGAGGAGAGGCTGTGAAACGGACTTACTTCTGCTTTCATATGTTAGGGCTTTTTAATTTTGTTGATTTCTTAAAATCATGAATGAAGCAGATAAGCTAAAAGACACTTCCTCTTTTCTGTGATTCTGTTAGTTGTCAGATTCCTCTCTTTGACAAATGTTTTTTGACTTGCTAAGTAAATAAAGAAGTAATTTTGCACAAGGACTAATCAACACCTAGGCAGTGTGCTGCTAGTCTGCCACCTGCGCCATATGCCTAGAAGACTGCATGATTCACCCTAGCACTAATGGCAATTTAGCCTCTTCATTTCCTGGAAGCTATTTCTGGTGGTATGAGGGTATTCTCTCTAATAATTTTTCTGCTTTGTTTTTTAAAAAAGCCATACTTCAGACCGTGAGCAGCTCTGCTTCCTACACTTCAACCATCTAGATCCCAGGATTTCTTGTTTCTGGATACAAGGGAACACTGTCAACTCAGAATACTGCAAGTGTGTTATTTCTTCAGGCTTAGAGGATGCCTAAGGCGACACACTTCTCATTTGTGCTTTTTTTCTTGTTATGATTATTCAGATGATCTTTCTTAAACCGGTCTTTTCTGCAGCGTGGGCAGTTGTCCTGGTGCTTTCCTCTTTAAGCCTCAAGGTCATGTGCAGAAAATCAATCGACAGTGCTTAATAGGAGTATTTCTCCTTTCAAGGTCAGCTAGATCTTTTTTTCTTTTTCCCCATATGGAACAGCTGTACTGTCCAGAGCGTGAGAGGCGTTTACTTCTCTCTGCTAGTGACGGGGAGGGCAGAAAGTCATTGAACACTTCTCTAACACAACATTACCCAAATGGTCATTTCTGTTATCTCCATGGATTTTAGAAGTCAGACAAACTTGTGTGTGCAGACAAACACAACGTATACTTGAACCTTTACTTGCAGCTGGTGGCTGCAACTGCAATGCTTATATCAGCGGGTGAGGAGTCTCTTCCCTTCGTTTAGCACCGATGGGATTTCTGCTTGTGACCAAAGGAAGGGTCCTACGCTCCCCCGGGTTGCCCTGAAGCCCTGCAGGGGCCTGTGGTTGGTGTGCTGCTGCTACACAGTGCTGTAGCTGAAGCAATTACTTGCTACTTAATTATACTATAGCACTGCACTATATAAAATGAGTGAGGTGGAACAAGATTGAGGTTTTCATTTCTATAAAATTCCTTTGTAATAAAGATAGATTAACACTGCTTCAAAACATAGTAGAATAACCTACCTTCACTCCTTCAGAAAAATGTGTTAAAATGAGTGGTCTCTGGAAAACAAAGGCATGACTTTGAAAGGACAAAGAAGGTTGAATTCCTTAGATCCGCAGATGTGTTTTGCAGGCAGAGAACAAGAATATTCTAATTTTTAGTGAAACTTGTGAATCCATAAAACTGTATCCGAAATTCACCTGCTTCTGTCAACTGCACATCTTAATGTGCCTTTCCCTTGTGTCCATTCGTTCCCAGAGGCAATACAGGCTCTGAGTCTTAGCTCCTTACACGGACATTTTGGTTATAATTTTAAGAATGATTGTATTTCTTAAATCAAACCGTCACTTGTGTCCTCCAGACGCAATTTCACAAGATGCAGTGTGGTACTTCAGTTCCTGAGATAGCTTTTTGTTGTTCTTTTTCTATAAAGTTTCAGGTGCTAACATAAAATGGCAAAGGTAATTTAGTGAAACAGTCCTCCTTGTCGGTCTGCTCCAAGTTGAACACTATTTTACCACTCCTGCCACTCACATACTCTTGTCATAGATATTTTAACTTAAAACTACCAGCTATTTGAGCTATCGTTATTACACGTTTAAAACCAAATTCTTGATGGGAAATTCCTTCCATTTCACAAGAGTAGCAAAATTGTCTCTGATTTCAGTTGTGCCTGGGTGGCTTATCATTCCAGATGGAATCAGTATGTATCTTAGCCAGCAAGTCACTTATGGACACCAGCATGTCTTCCAAAAGGCCTTTTTCTGTGACAGTGAGGTGGAGCTGCTAGGTGGATTTCCAGTTGTTAGTGGCTGTTTCTTTTGGGGTTGTTTTTTGTTTTAGACAAAACAAAGAAAACCTCTGAAAGTGAAGTCTCTTGAGCATGAAGACTCCCTTTGTGACTTTCAGATCTATACTGGAAGCTCCTCTGAGATGGAGGAGTTAATTTATTGTTAAAGCTGATTAGCAGATTCTGCCAGCTGTTAATTTGTAAGTAACTACCATTTTTTGACATCAGTCTTTGAATTTGTTGTTTAATTTAGAGCAGCAGTCTTGAATTCATTCGACAAACAAGAATCTAACAATCATTTTGTAAAGAGTCAGTGGTCAGTTCATCTTTCTTATTATAGACATGTAGAAGGAACTGATATTTATTTTTTTTGCCCCCCTGAGGTATTCTGTATCTTTGCAGGCTGGCCTGTGCAAGAAAAGAACTGATTCTCTTCTAGGAGCGATTCTTTTCCTTCCTGTTACATTTCTAGGTGATTTTTTTGCATGAAATTTTGTTGCAAGAACGCCTTCAGAGTATTCATCATTAGGACAGTTACCCATGAGGACGGAGATCTAGCAAACCAGTTTCACTTCTGTTCTCTTGGGTTTTTTCTTCATCTCATTTCAGATTAATTCTCGGAACAAGGAAACTATCTGTTTTATGACGCAGTAGATCTCTGGGCTCATGGTCCACTAGGTGAAATAGTAGACCACAACTTTGGCATAGATTTTTATTTTATTTTTTTTTTTCCTGTTGGGATTGCAAGTTTCTCCAGTTCTCTCTTTTTAGGCAGTTCTTGGTCCTTCTGTGTTTGGAGCCGTGACAGGTAACAGCACTGTGTAGGCCTCTAGAGGGAGATGGAAGGTGCTGAGCCGTGTAGGACTATGCAAGCTGTTTTCTCATTGTGGGAGCTACTCTGGACAGTACAAACAACGCAGTCAGTACAGTAGCTTCATCCTGGAGAAATATAAAAAGGGATCATTGTTGGAGAACATCTTCATCGAACCTTATTTCATCATCTAGCTACTTTTCTTTTTTTTTTCTTGAGCTAGCAGTTCCTTTAATCTACTTCAGTGGCTTTTCTGTGCAAAGACATCTTGATCAGAGAGGGCTTTCAGTGTTAGTGGAATGTTTGAAATATGTTCTCCTTGTTTGCAGAAACGGTGGAAGGAGCTCTCTAAGGAGGACCAAGCGCCAAGTTCTGAGCAGTCTCCTCCACACCCAACCAAAATAACCACAGAGAAGTACAATGGGAACAGCATAGGCCTGGAGAACAAAGATCAAATGGAGAAAGTAAATACTGACCTGTCCACAAAAGGTCAAGATGTGACAGATGGAAACATTGAAAGGTAGGCAAAATGAGGAGACTGTTTAGAAGGCAGATACAGTCTTCTGAGAGGCTGAAAGAAGTATGCTTTTCTTATCATAAAAAACCTTCAAGATCTTTCTTCAGTAGAGGAAAAGGACAGGTGGTATTTGAGTGTCTGGTTTAATTATTTTTTAAATACAGCTTCAATTGTTCCTTGTAATAAACCTGTATTGTTTAAAGGTCAAGAGAAGAAAAATTGTCTCTAATTGAAGCAGCTAAACCTCACACTTGAAAGCCTTTTCCGACAGACTTCCTGTGAACTCTGTTGTGCAGTGTGAATTAGGTCCTAAAAGTGCCCAAAATAATTCGATACTGATTTTTAAATACAATGCTGACTTTTGTTTGTAAAAATATATGTCAGAAGCACAAAATTTTTATGACCTACCAATTTCTCTATGATGATGGCAGTTGTGTCACTGCAGCCATACGGTGCCTTCCACTCATATTAAGCCTGCCACTGTGAATACATCTCTGTGGTTTAGCTGTGCCGCGTGAACTTCCCTTTAAAGTTTCTCCTCCTGATGAGCAGTAATGCCTCAGCTGTGAGCTGCTGTGTTGGGAATTGCCAAATTGCTGTCTGGATTTGCTGTGCCCTGAGGCAGCGCGTCCCTTGTGCCTGCGCAGGGAGGGTGGATGCGTGGCCAGAGAGCTGCCTCCAGCCCAGCTGCAGTGTGTGGGAGCAGGGTCTGTCCCACAGGGCTGCAGTTCGGTCTGGATGGACTGCAGTTCCCAAATAACCCATGGCTCACTCTGAGTGCCCTGAGGAGTTCATCTTTCCATGTCTTTATCAGTGTTTTAAGAGTGGTTGACAGTGATTCTGTAGATGTTTGAAGGAGCCCCTTGCAAGCAGGAGCTGGGGTATGGGTGCGAGCGTGGTGTCTGTATGCTAGGACTTGGACAGTCAAAGCGGGGTTTGTGCCAGAGTTAGGCTTTCTTAGAGATTGGGAGGGTACTTTTGGAGACAAGAATTACAGGACAGCCCCGATAGTGTAACAACACACTGATATTTTTTTTTAGCCTGTGTCCTCGATCAGAATCGATTTAGAGCCTAGGATGAGCACTGTTTGATTTTCACACAGACGTGGGTAGGTTGGGATCAATGGGTCAGTGAGGCTGGTGCCAACTCTGCAGTTGGAGGCACACGCTTAAATATTGTGAATGTTTGCACACAGTGTCTGACATGGCATAGAAAGTAACCTCTGTGCAAAACAACCTCAGCCAATGAATGAGGCACTGGTGGGGTGGAAGACTAAGCTCTGATAATTAAGCTAATTCTGTTCATTAATAAACACGTAGGTCAGGGACCACTTATATCTTTATATATGTCATTTACTTATTTCTTGGGGCTTCACTGATCTGAAACTCGCCGCAGCAAGGTTGTTAAAACAGAATAAAGATTGCTTGCTTGGTTTATTTTATATACTGCTGCCATATGCTACTGGTGGGTTACTTAACTATTGGGATTGTGTTGGAAAGAGTTTGTTCTAATATTTAACAGCCTTTTTCTCTGTTCTACAGTGTAATATTTACCTTTTATATTTTTTTCTTTAAGTACTGTCCGAAAACGACTGCGAGAGGATAGGAAAGCTAACACAGCACAGAAGCTGCAGCAGATGAAGCAGAAGCTAAATGAGACTGAAAGAAAAAGAAAAAGGTGGTTATATTGGAAACCTATTCTCACTAAGATTGGGTTTGGTACACTCATTTTAGTTGGCGCTTATTCTTGCTGGAAAATGTATTTTCAACAACATTCCTTGTAAGTAAACAGTAAGCCTGTCTATTCCAGCAGCTAAGTTTGCTGCAAGTTAATGATTAGGGGTGTAACTTTAAGCAGTAAGCTCCTTACACCCAGGATGGGTGCAGACTGTTACATACAATAGAGAAGTGTTGTAAACTTGATCCCATGTCAACATCTCAGGACTTTCCACTGCAGGTACTTAAAAAAATGAACTGCTGCCCCCAACACACTTATGGTTTTTTGTTTATATGAGCAGGTACAAACTTGCTGCAACTGTTTATCTGTTTATACACTTTTTAAAATGGTGTTGTACCGGATCTCAAGCAAACCCTGAATCACAGAGGTTTAGCTTCTGAAGGCTATCTCGATTTAAATTTACATGCCTGACATAAGCAATAAACGGTGTTGTATCATTTACATTATTAATGCAAAGAAGTTATCCTTAAATGTGTGTAATGTGTAATGTACTAGTGACATGGACATAAACATTTTATATTCTTATGACCTAGGATAAATATATTTTATAATTGCATATTTAATCTTTTTGTAGTTCACTGTACTTTTAAAAGCTCAGTTTGTACAAATTTCTGACCAAAAAGAATTTGATTTTGAAACGAAATGTAATTATAATTTGTGCATGAAAATAATGGTGCAACCATTCCCCCATATTTTGACTCTCAAATTTATGATAAGAGCAGCTAGGGGTCTGATGAAGCACTTACCAATTTCTACTCTGTTAATTTGCATTCCTTATTTATTTTTTGTAGTTTTCATTATTTAAGTGAGGCTTGGAAATTTGATTATTTTTTTCTTAAGGCTTTTGAGAACTTAGCCCCCACTGAAAAGCATACTGTTAAGTTGATTCATGTATTCAGACTTCAACTACTGTTTGAAGGCCAACATTGTTAAAGTTCTGACATTCCATTAAATGTGAAACATAATGTTTTGTGTGTCTATAGATTTTAATTGCTAGAAAGAATAAAAGTCATTCATCAGTAATAGCTATAGAAAGCGCACATCAAAGGAAGCTATAGTTGGACTTCAAGGGTGGTTGTAACAGAAAACAAATGTTGCTAGTGTCCTCTCGTACCCCGTATGCTCAGCTGCATGAGCTGCTTCCGTACCTTCACAAAGTCCAGAATTGCTTTTCAGGTTCTCCAGCACTGTATCAGAGAAGCATGACTTAAAACCCGTAATGACTATTGTTTTGGGAATATCCTGCTATAGTCGCTTTAAAATTTTATTCCATTAGTTGGATGATAACACTTCCTAAATAGTCATTCAACAAATATCACTTTCAGTCCTGTAAATTCTCTTTGAATGCAGAAACGGTGTGTGGCTGTATGTAGCTTGCTGTCATTCAAGTTGAGACCTAATAATTTGTAGTATTGGACTGCACTTTGAAACCTGGATTTTATTTATTCAAGCATTGCCTTGTTGGGTGACTTCAGAGAAGTCGTTGTTTGCCCTCCATTTTCCTACCTTGGGTGTTTTCTGTTGGGTGTGGGAGCTTGGGGGCGGTATTTTTTCTTTTCTGGTTTCTCCCCCTACACTTCCTTTTGTCCTTTGGTAACACATTTCTTGGATGTACTGCTGAAAAATACTAAAAGAGCCTTTGCTCCTTATCCAAAGAAATTAACTTGAAAGGTTTCCAGTTCGTTCAGGCTTTAGTAGTAACATGCCAGGCACGGGGCCCAAGTAGCCTGACATTTACTACGCAAAGCTGAGTTGAGTTTACTCTTTGAAATGCTCATTTCACAATAGCTAATACTATTTTGGACTAGGCTGTTTATATAGTAAATAAATGCTTAAGGGTCCAGATAAGGAAAACAAGTGTAGTTTCTTGGAACATGCAGTTCTGAATTTGGGAAACTGCATGTCAGTAGAACAAGATCATTTGTCCCGTGGCATTACTGAAGAACTATGCAGCTCTATTAGCAGAATGACCTGCTGATTGCTGTGACACAGTATAGGCAGGCAGTTTACGTATTTTAAGACATTTCATAATTGTTACAACCGCAGTAACTCAGCCAACAGGAGGCTTGGCAAAATATTCTTTTTTTTTTTTTTTTTCTTTAAATTGGGAAGACAGTTTATTCAGTGTCAGCTATAACTCATAGTAGGTGTAAATGTCTGTGCCTTATAAAAGATATTTTGGTTATGGAAGAACACATGGAATGTACTTAAATGCTTTTGTAACAGAAATAGTCCAGATTTTATTCTAAATACTTAAAGGAAAAAGCGCAGGCAAAACCATACTGTCACTTAGCACCTT